AATCAAAATTCACCATTTTTTATCCATTACTTGTTTTTTAGTATCTGTCACTTATTATTTACTATCTACCATACTACCTACTGCCACTATTTGTAATACATAATCTACCCCTTACTATCCACTAAATTTTAATTACCATACCAAATTTTAATCACTATACCTAACAACCTCTAAACTTTTGGTATGTAAAAATCACATTAAATCTAACTAATTTAGAATCAAATTAAGTTATCTAAAAATCACATTAAAAAATCTTACTAATTCATAATAAAGTTAACTCCACAAAACTTATATTTTTATTTATAAAATTCGAACTATGATTTTACTGAAGAGAACATGAGTTAACTAACAAATCATTGATAAAAGCAAATATTTATTTATTTTTTTATAAAATTTAAAATTAAAATCTTAATTAATGTAAATTGAAATTTTATCTTAATTAATTATTACATTTGATAAAAAATTTAAACTTTAAAAACAAAATATTGTAAAAAATAAAAATATATATACTATATTTAATATTTTTCAAAAGTTTAGGGGGTAGCTTGTCTACCCAAACTCCCCTCCCTTAGTCTTAGTTAACGGAATGTTTATCAAGTATATCATTTTAAAACAAAATTGATAGTTTATAAATCATTTTAAAAGAAAATATTGTTTTTAGATTAAACTAAAATAAATTACTTAATTAATAAATTATTTATTGAATTTAACCAATTTCTAGGTGTAAATGACCGCAGGCTTATGAGTTCAAAAACCCCATATTCTCATTCTAGAAAATTTCTTATTTCACTTCATTTTGTTTATAAATAATAGTTTAGAAGGTTTTGTTCGGAATTGTTTGAAGGGGAAATTAATTTTAGGACAAATTTGATTTTTTTTTTTTTTTTTTTTTTTTTTTTTTTGTGTTTAGATCTGTTCAAGGACTTCTGGTTTTAGTTTTATGCAATTGATACATTGATTTTCCTTTTGGTAAGTAAATCGAATAGGCAAATCTAAAATTTCTAGGTTTTGGTTCTTCAACAATGAACATCCTTTTCTTTCAATTTACAAATAAATATTAAGATGTTGGTCCATTTTTCTTTTCATTCTTGATTTCTCTCAATAAAATTTGCCATCTTGTAGTAAGTTACTTATAGATATATGCATACAATTCGAGTATATTTTGGGATATGAATTAAAGAATATTGTATCATTGTTTATCCCAAGAGCCATGTTCTATTTGATTAAATGCTTACATTGATTTAAATTTGGTTATATATCTATATTGTTAAGTGCAATGAAGGAAGAGAAAAACAAAGTGACTTTCTTCACTTCATCACTCAAATAATGCTCTGCAGTAATCTGTGTGGGAGACACCATGAAAATTTCATTCAAACAAAAGACCAATGTATGGATAAAAGCTCATAAGCCCGTGACTACCTTCAGTCCAAGGACAACTTTAAGACTTTTTAAGTTCCACCACAAACATGGCCTCGTTTTGAATCACAGTTAATTCTAGCTAGTAAAACAAGCAAAGGAATGCAAGGGCCCTTTTTTCTTTTTCTTCTTTTTTTTTTTTTTGAAACATAGGAAAATTGAAAAAATTAGGGGAGTAGAGGGATTTTTCAAATTATTGATAAGTGTAGAGTTCTTAAAATCCAAACATTTAAATTTGGAGATGAACCGCCGGGGTTGATTGAAATGCAAGGGCTCTTAGAGTGGAAATTAAATACCTTAAATCTCTAATGTTTTCATTTATTTTTAGTAAAGTTTAGGACTAATTCCTATTGAAATTTAAATAGTTCATGGACTTAATTGAAAACTACATTATCTAACTCTTTTATGAAAATGTTGCAATTTTTATTCATAACTTCTTCAGTTCATTGGGGTCTACCTTTTTTTTTCTAATGTCTTTTATGGATATCTGTAAAATAAAATATTAAATTTGTTAAAATTCTTACAATTCTTGATATATGCACTAACCAATTAGATATATGAACTTATCAAAATATAATTTGATAATATATTTATTTTGTTAGATTTGTTTTTATTTGATGAATTGTGCTTATTATTAAATTATTGAACATAAATTTTGTGCATCCCAACAACAATTCGGATAGAGCTTCCTCTTAATAAAGTACTCATCAGATAATGCAGCCTTCTCCAAAGCAACAGCAACCTGTAAATCACACCATGGAGAGGACATAATAATTTCTAATGAATAATAATTTTCAAGCCACCACTTATTAGTATGGACAAAATTAAAAACCAGAATAACGTGATTGCCAATACCTCATTTGCTCCACCATGGAGAGGACCATAGAGTGCTCCAACTGCTCCAGCAAGAGCTGTGTATACATAAACTCCACTGCAAATATAGAGTGCAATCTTAACAACAGAATTCTGGATTGCTCTGTTTCAGTTCAAAACTAATAGGCCTACCCTGACGCAAGATGCCTAGCAGCAGCTGCTGAACAGTTCATTTCATGTTCTGCATGTAATATGAAAAGAATGTCCAGCACTCTAGCCAATCGAGGATTGGGTTTGGAAGACCTATTGCCCCTGCAAAAATGATGGTGTCAATTTTGGTTAGGCTAGAAGAGGTTTTCTTGGTTTTTTTTTTTCTTTTTTCTTTTTCTCGGGTACTTCATAAACTAGTTAAGGTTTAGTTATTAATTCCCTTTAAAATTGAAATAGTTTATGGATTGAAATGAAATTAATTATTTTTACCAGTCATTTCGAACAAAACTAACGATAGATGTAAGCCAAGTTAGCTAGAATAACGGATACAGACGGCAGCGCTAATTTTAGGGGCTAATTTCCTAAAATCATAAGTTTCAGAGCTTATCACCTCGAAAATTAATTTAAGGGCTTAGATAAAAATATGGGAAAAGTTTGGAGTTTTGCCTTGTATATGTGGCTGTCGTGTGGATAAGCAGCCAGAGCCACAGTGAATTAGGTTGGAAATGAATTATTGAGGTTTCTGATCCACTGAAGAAGACTCAATCGAAGTCAGCTGAAGAAGACAAAGCGAATGATAGAGGAGTGGTGACCACAGGCTGGGACAACTTTAAAGGTGGGTTGTTGGTAAGTAGGACTTTTCAGACTTCAGAGGTTCATCTCAGTGTTTTTAAGGCCGAAACAAAAATTAAATTATTTTGATCTTTGGTTCTCAATTTTACAGATTTAACCAGGTTGATTGCTTAAATTTTTGGTATGCTCGGATGGTAATATAAAATATAAAAATTAAATATATATAAGTTTTGAATTTAAAAAAATTAAAATAACCTTAAATGATATCATTTAATTTTATTTAATGAAAATATAATTTAAAATTTAAAATTTTATT